CTCTGACAGTTGTGTAAACATTTAATTATGGAGTGACAAACAAGTTTGAGGCATGAAAAACAAATATTATCCAGCCTAGCATGGATTTGGTTCATGTGTTCATCAAGAAATGGCTTGTAATTCAAGTTTGAAAACCCTAACTTCTTGCCTTCGATTCTCCTTGCTCAGACATGATATCAATGAGTTCTTGGAAATTTTGGAAAGCTTGTAACATCCTATATAGGATCTATGTTTGAAATTTTTGAAAATTCATCTTGGAACTATGTGAAAAATTGCCATGAAGTTAGGTCAAAATCTTGCCTAAACTAGGGCAGAATTTCACTAAGTTTCTAAGTTTCATGATCATGTATTCACAAAATCATAACTTGAAATACATGCATTTATAGAAGAAGTTGTGTTCTACAATGTTTTATATCTCATTGAGATATACAACTTTCATGTTAGAAGTTTCCTTTGAATCATCTTGCATCATGGTGAAAATTTGGCTCAAAGTTATGAAAAAATATGAAATTTTCAACACTTAGAAAAATTTCTAAGTTTAGAAATTTTGACTTTTCAAAATGAAATCTTGAATTTTTTATTTCTTGATGAATAAGTTTCATATTTTGACATGTTTTGATGAATTTTGATCTTTGACACTTGATTTTGACCAAAAAGTCAAAGTTTGACTTTTCATTGTTCAATTGACTTTTCATCAGTTGACTGAAATTCAACTGTCTATCAATTGATCTTGAGGGATGTTTTGAGCCATGCCATTAGGTCAAAATGAAGCATTTGAATCCTTGATATAATGTCTCAAACCAATCAATCATTTGCTAGGTCAAAAATCAAAAATTGACCTTTCTCAATCAAAACCCTAATTTTGACCATTTTGCCCTTTTGATTATCTGATCAAATTTCTTGAGGAATTGTGATCTAAACTTGATAAAATGACATATATGAGTTCACAATGTTGATATGGATCAAAAATTATGAAGTTTGACTATAAATTGACCATAATTGACTTTTTCCCAATACATTTGATTTTTAGGTCAATTGATCAATTGACTGGGCAAAAATGTGATCCAAGACTTGAAACTTGACACGATCAATCTTGAGAGTTCCTAATGATCCATGAAAGCCATATGAGGCATTAAAAGTCCATTTATCCTTGTGCAAACTCAAACCCTAATTTTCAATCATCAGTGCTGGAGGAGGTGTCATGAGCTGATCAACCCTTGTACAGTCTTGAACCAAAGGAGATCTTATGAGATATTACTTGACAAATGAGAGGAAATTTTTTGGGGTACAACAATGTTAAATAAAAAATGATCAAAATTTTTTCAAAAGTGTTGAAAGAAAATCAAGCGTGCTTGATCTCGTGCATTATTATTTGTGTGAATTTAAAGGCATGATAACCCGTGGAGGAAATCGTTATTTCATAATATTTAGCGATGATTATTATAGGTTCAAACATGTATACCTTTTAAAGCATAAAGCTGATGCTTTTAATGCTTTTAAGGTTTATAAAACGGAATTAGAAAATCAATTAAGTAAAAGTATAAAAGTACTTATAAGTGATAGAGGTGGTGTGTACTTTTCTGCGGAATTTGATGCATAGTATGAATAATATGACATTATACATGAATGTTTCGCTCCTCGTACACCACAACAAAATGGCCTGTCTGAGATAAAGAATTAAACATATCAAGAAATTATAAATGCTATGTTAATTTATTATTTTCCGCATGTCACATAATGAACATGATTCCTTTGAAAATAACTGGTATTTCTCCATATGAGATATGGAAAGGAAGATCACAAAATATTGGTCATTTTAGAGTGAGAGAGTGTGTAGCATATTACAAGAATATGGATCTCAGAAGAACTAAATTAGGTTCTCGAGGAATCGGATGTGATTTCATAGAATATGTGTTGTACCCCAAAATTTACCCTCTTCATTTCGACCCTATTTGGCTTATACTTCATTATTATATGCATACATACATATCATTGGTTCTATGGTTATGTGATCAAGGTATTTCTTTTAAGCCACGCCAGGTTACAAAAGACTTTTATTTTGTCCTTCGATGTGCTCAAAGAGTTCTTCAAGCTATTTAGAAGTGATTGGATAAATCCCCATCATGCCAAGTTCCCGTGTTCTCCAACACGCCTTGAACGGCAAATAAAATCAAGTGTTTCAGTTGTTTCATAACAGTTTGAGCTAAAAATCAGTATTTTATGGTGGACTTCAAAAATTCATAACTTCCGGTCAGAAAAGGAATTTTTAGTGGTTATTTGGACATTAGAACCATCTTGGCATCTTCTACAGTTCGCCTGTTCAGACCGAAGGCCAATTTTGTGAGGAAGACCTCTGAATATTTTAATAACCTGAGTTTTGGTTTTGCTGGTCAGTTGGTCCTCGAGTGTTCCAAAATTCGTAACGTTCATTTGGTTCAACGGTTTTGAATGGTTCTTCAGCCATAAAATCCACCTTTATGTCTTCTCCAATTCACATCTTCAGGCCAAGAGCTAATTCTTTGAAGAAGATCTCCGAATGTGCGAATACGTTAAAAATGTACGGTGGAAAATATGGTGAAAAAGTGTGCTGAACCAGTATTTTTCGAACGTTCAAAAATTCATAACTTTCATCCGGTTCAACATTTTGGATCCATTCTTTGGGTATAAATTCCATCTTGATTTCTCCTACATTTTGTATGTTTGGGTTGAGATCTAATTCTGTACAGAAGGACTCGAAAAATGCCATTTACCAGAGATTTTTACAGTAAAAAAAGATTGACAGTTGTTTGTTTTTGCGACATTCAAAAATCACAACTCTCTCAATTTTTGTCGCATCGTGCTGGTTCTTGAAGCATTGGATCACAAATTCTGTTAACTTCAACTTTGCTTCAGACCTCGAGTTTGTACGGCATTCTGAAGGCTTCCGTTTATGGTCCGTTTCGCAAATGGAACAGTGAAGTAAGCTGAAATCTAAAAAAGTTTGTCTGAGGCAAAGATTCTCGTCGCTAGAAAATTCATAACTTGCTCGATTTTTATCGTATCGCGTCCGTTCTTTCGGCATTGCGTCACAAATTTTGTCATCTTAATTTTTGTTTAGGGATCGCTTCGAGATTTCACACTGAATGATGACTTTGTATTTTCTTCTCGCATTATGCATTAAATATGTTGACACTGTCAAGACAAGGCTCGATTCAAATCCAAATCCAAGGCCCATTTGTGTTACTATATATATTCTTTTTTCCCAAAGTTATAAACAACTCTTCACTCATAATTTAAAAATCACACAAATCAAAATCTACTCTCTCTCAATTCTCCCAAATTTTCTCAAGAACACCAACAATCTTTATACTTTTCAAGAACAAGAATCATCAAATCTTCATCAAAATTCAAGTCTCATTCCTATCTCAACCGCACAAAAATCCGCCAGTACAACTCCCTCTTCTGACCGCGATCCTCCATATCCTCCCTCTGCCGTAAGTCGCGGCCTCTGCCGGTACAATCTCCTTTCGCCACCGTTAATTCATGGTCAACCCTCTCTCCACCGCGGTTCTCCGACGAACCTCTAATTTCGCGGATTCGTTTTTCGATTTCTTCAATATTTGGTAAACTTCTATTTAATTTAATTGTTTCATGTGGATTCTTGAATTGATTATATGTGAAACAACCGGCTAAAAATCATCAAACAATGAAGTCGCCATCGAACGTCTTTTATCCCACATGAAGGGAAAGGTAAACATCGAGGAAACCTGAAAAGGGTGAAATCAAGGTCTTGCGACCGAGAGATAAGGGTAAGGGAGTCTATTACGCAAGGGGAAGGTATTAGCACCCCACACGCCCGTAGTACTCTACGGTATCCACTCTTGTTGTCTATCTTATGGGTGTGTTTAATCTATGCTTACTGTTTATTATTGCTAAGGGGAAAATGCATGCAAGAGAAAAGGGAAAAATGTAGGGAAAATAAAATTGTGCTCGTTCGGCCCCTACCCCGATGCCTACGTATCCGTTTTAAGGAATCAGAGCAGCCGTAGTTCGGCTTATATGTTTTTGTTGGTTTGTATTTTTTAATGAACAGTATTAATTTTGCCTTCTGCCGCAACTCGACCTTTAGAGACTTACGCGTCGGCACAGAAGTGAATTAATATGCTCTTCTGAAAAGGTTTTGAGAAAAAATGTGCCTGGGCGCACAAAAAAGGTTGAATTTGTTTGTTTGTAATGAACGATATTAATTTCGCCTTCTGCCGCAACTCGACCTTTGGAGACTTACGCGTCAGCACAGAAGTGAATTAATACGCTTCTTTTGAAAAGGTTTTGAAAGAAAGGCCCGAAGGCAAAAAAGAGTTTGTATTGGTTGGTATTTTTGCTTGTAGATAATAGCTAGTTGATCTCAAGGGAGAGATTTTAGCCATGTCTCTACTTATTCGTGAAAAGATTCTTTGAGACTTGAACCATGCCAAGGCTTAGAATGGAAAAATGATAAGATCGAGAAGAGACCCGCTTATCGTCTCCCGTGTTCAATAAAGGCACGATTCTCGTCAGCAATTTTTAAGTATTTTGGAGTTTGTAAAAAAAAGTTTTTGTTTTAGATGCGTATGCAAAAAAGGGGGAAAGAAAGTCAAATGAAAACTAGCCTATTTCTAAACTTAATTTTTATCATGCGTTGTTAGATCTAAAGTTAGAATTTGAGGGATTCTACCTAATGTTAATATGCATATGGATTGCGATAAAGTACGGAAATGAAGAAAAAAATAGAGTTGTGATGATACCGAACGGAGAAGGTCTGTTGCCTCTTCGAAGCCATGCAAGTGATAGGAAAACTCTACCGAAGTTGCTCCGCATGAGTGATCAAAAATTAATCTCCCAACATTCCACATTGCAAAATTTGCATCAGTACTAACGCAGAAAGTCTAGTGCCTTTTCAAAGCCACGTGAGCAATGAGAGAGATGTCAGAATCTCCGCCAATGGTCAACCAAGTTAATCCTCAAGCGTTTAACATTCCTAATCAACATGATATCGCAAAACTAATACAAGAATATCAACAGGAATTAATCATGAAATATGAAAGAAATTGAAGACAAACTCTTAATTAAATTCTAAAAAGAAACTTTAAAATCAACTAGTATATTCTACTATTTTTTTGTATCATTTTCATCACAATTTTATGCTATCAAAATTAATTACAAGAAGAATTGTAGAATTATTGTAAGGAAATTCAATTAACCAAACAAAAAAAAGGATGTGCAAGCTGGACTTAAAGCGTAGGTTACAAAAGTCGTCCCAAGGCCCAACCAGCAATATCCATGAAGCAATTTTTTTTTGCTGAATAATCTCCAGGCTGCAAAAACAAGCGACAACGGGCCTGAGGAGAACATAGAGTCCAGCCCACTCCCATAGCATAACCATCAGTCCATCAACACATTTTGTTTCGAATTTTCAATAATAAAAAAAATAAAATAATAATAATAAAATAAAAAAAAATAAAATAAAAATATAATCCATGAATCTGAAACATTCTCTTGTGCTTGGGTAGGGTTTGGAACACTCGTGCTTCACGAGACCGTTCTTCTCTTCCTCTCGTTCCAATCGGCGGCGCATGTCCTTCATCATCTCCTTTGTTCTCATCTGAATCGCCGCCGTCTCCCTTCTTCATCAATAATCTGAACAAGATATGTGGATTTCGTTGCGTCTTCACCATGTTTGAAACATCATCGGAGTGACGCTGAAAAGCAATTGGAATTTGAGATCGAAGTGAGTTCACACTGAAGGAGTTGCACCGTCGAAGTTGAATCGGAGATGTAGTCGAGGTGAAGATTGTGACGTTGAGCCGAAACAAGGGCGGAGAGAGATGATGAACTGCCGCTTGCATGAAAGGGAACATGTTGAAGAAGATCTAAGCAACAAAGGTGATGATTTTCATTGGAGTTTGAAGAAAAGATCGAAGGAGATAGAGGTGGCTTTGTTCGTTTCACGGAGGGGACTATTGGGCTTCATGAATTGAGAATATGCTTCTTAACAAATCGCAGCGCCGACGATGAACACTATCTCTGACCGACACATCCAAGCTCCTCACCGTCCTCATTTTTCAATATTCTATCTGCCTTTGTGAATCACAAAACCATATCCTTCGTCCATTCGGTTTCTCCTTTTTAATCCGTGATGAACGCCGTCGTAAAAGTTGCTTCTCCTCTAGTCGTTGTAATGCTTCAACCGGAGCCAGTGATATAACCAAAACAGGTACTTTAAAGAACATGTATATTTTCCTCTCTCTGATCTCTGCTCACTTCCGATTCCATTTGTTTCTATCTCTGATTCCATTGGCCTCTGTCTCAAACACCTCCTTCATCTCATCTCTTTTCTCTCTTTGTTCTCAGGTCTTCGATCTCGCTCTTAATTTCGTAACAAGAAATAGATGAAGAAATGAAAGATTCGTCTACCTCTGATGCAAGAATGATCGAAGTGAATCTGGACTCAGGTATGCGATTCTTTTCACTTTAATCTTCTTCCCTAATCTTTATGCACTCTTCACTTCATCTATTACTCATTCTGTTACGCTCTAAATATCTCTGCGTTGGGTTTCCTCGCGGTTGCTGTATCAAAAGATGAAACTGCTCAAAATTGTTGTTGATGAGGAATGTGTGCAAGAGTACGGAGAAATTGATGAAGGTTTCGAGGTGTGTCGAGGTTCCGCAAGTTGAAGGTTGAAATGTAGACGGTGACGATGAAGTTGTATCAAGAAAATGGAACAGAGAGAGAAAGTTTGATTGAAGATTCTTGAGGTGAGTTTTTCTAATCTTTCTGGGTTGAATAATTGTGAATGGATAATGATTTTGTATTATTGTGAATCTGCAGATATGAGGATATCAATTTCTGTTAGAAGGTTGATGATGAACAAATGAAGGTTGAACTAAGATGCTGACAGGTAGAGCGAATGAAGAGGAGTGCAAAGATCTTTTTGTTTTTCTGTCTTTTGTGTGTAAAGATGGATCCTGATTGTCCCCCTGAAAACTGGATTATATAGTCGGTTGAGTCTGAGAAGTTGGTTAGAAATTGATTAGGTGGTTAGTAAATCTGTTAGAAGGTAGTTAGAAGTTAGTTAGAAACAGTTAGGAAAAGGTTAGTTAGGGATTGGTTGTTTTGGAAGTTAGTTAAAACTTGATTTGGAGTTTAATTTTTGAATTCTGTTGAGAAGTTTTTGTTAGAAGTTTAGCTTAGAAAAAAAAAACAGTTTGGAGGTTAGTGAATCTGTTATAAGTGGTTAGGAAGTTTGTTATGGTGGTTAGAAAATTCTGTTATGTTAGAATTCTGTTTGGAGGTAGTTAGAGAGTTTGTTACTCTGTTTGACAGCTAGTTAGTAGAAGTTAGTTTAAGAGGAATTCTGTTTTGTTACAAATTCTTAGAACTGAACTGTTAACTGTTATTGATTTTTTCTTTTTAATCTTTCTATGCAGGGCTGAACTGTGGACGGGCTAGGAGTTCCCTCCTGGACATCATTTTCCTTTAGCACCATTTGACACACGTATGCAAGGGTTACTTCTATGTCCACTACATTTAATTTCCACAACGAATTCAACAAAGTACCCTTATTGAGACGAATATGGGAGTCAACGTTTTCAGGGTAACTACCACTAGTTCTAAATTGGCTGCTGAGTCCTTCTTGATGTTTGTGTGACTTTGTGTATATTTTAACAGGTAAGGATTCGGCAATTTCAACAGGCGCGGGAACAGATCCAATAGAAGATACAGAAAGTTGGGAAGATAAAACCACTAATTGCTGGTGAATTTCATCCAGAACCTCAAACAAGGCTTCAGCAATATGTGCAATCTCAACCCTTGAAAATGGTTCAATCAACCTGCAAAGATTCTGCTCCAAAAGGGTGTCATACAACGATGACAAGTGCCTATGAACAATTGGATCTTCCTCCAACTACGCCTTGAAGTCTCGTAAAGCAGTTTCAAATAATTTCAGGGATCTTTTGGAATGAGCATCTGCAACAACTTTCATTGCATCCAAGTCAGGTCCAACATACTGCAGGCCGGCTTTAGAAGATATGATTCCAGCAACATCATCAGCTTGACTAACCATGATCTTACACAGCAACATGTATTTTTAGGCTAAAGACAACTTTGGGGTCTTCAAGAGCATTGAAAGACTCAAAAGCTTCAAAGAAATAACTATATGCAGTTTTGTAATCCTTCTCTTTTTATCAGTAAATTTGGAATTAAACATAAAGCTGTCATTTGGGGATATTGTTTTAGTGTTAGGCTCCTTAAGAAATATCAATGATGTTGCAAGTCCCCCGTGAGTAAATCCATGAAAGTTTTCAGTGCTTAGTTTTTATTTGTTTGATAAAATCCTTTGAAAACTTCTACACACTTAACCACTTCTGCAGGAAGATTGAGATCAAAAGATTTATAACTAGGCCAGAAGCCAGTAGTTAGAACTGTAACTGTCAAGTCTATTCCAGGGTCTGCATTAGGATTATTGTTTAAATACTCCTCAAAGCTAGTTTGATTCTCCTTTTCCAACGTCAAATCTGTAACCATTCCTTCCATCTTCGAGGTAAACTGTCCTCCACACTGTTGCTTCAATTTGGTCAAAATACTTCTCTCATGATCATCATCAGCACTCTTGTAAAAAAGAAGCCTTCGAGCAAGCTTTTTCCTGTAGAACTCAGCAAACAAGTCTTTGTCACTAATATAGGCGAGCAGATTTACCACCTTTTCAAGAGTTTCTTCAATTGCTTCATCACTCAATTTTTCACTTCCTCCTTTCTTGAGAATGTTATCATAATAAGTGGCAAGAAGTTCTGCACTAGAGTTTCCAGCAACACCTTTGTTGCAAAAGACCTCAAAAGCCTCTTTAAGAGCCTTGTGGAAAAGAGTGTGATTCTGGAAACATGAGTTCACATATGCTTTCTCATATCTTAAAATATCTTTAGATGTCAAGTATATCCAATAATTTTCAAATAACCTCTAAATCATGAAATATGGAATAATTTAGTCCACAAGAGTTAACTTGGTTTTCATCCACGAAGTCTCGTTGGAATCTTCCAATTCTGCTTGAATCAAATTATTGAACAAAACTGAAGCTCATTCTCACACAAATATAATGTTTTGAGGAACTGATAACGAAGATGGAAATATGGAAGAAGTATAACCAAGATATCCTTAAAACTACTAATCCACCTTGACTTGTATTGTGAGCAAAAACTAACAATGATGAGAACAAAAATGGCCTTGATCAACGTGAATCTATGGTACCATTCCTTATGTCATGACCTCATACTTTTCAATTCAACCCCACAAGTCCTTTGTCTTGTCAAAAAATGTCTTTGTGGGATCCTTGAAGAAGATAAAATTTGAAGCATAGAAAGATATCCTCTAATCATCTCTCATTGATGAACATCAACAAACTCACACACAAGATGCAATACCTTAACCCACTTGTATTAGGTGCACAATGACGACTTGAGACATGGATAGAATAATGTTCAAAATGTCTTTGAAATGAAACAAAGCATGATCTTCCAATAGACATGGGGAAATAAACCCAAATCTTCAGACTTAACAAATATAACCTTGCAACTTGATTTTGAGATGAAGAGAATAAACTTGTAGCTTGATAAAGAAGAAATCCACAACAACCATCAATCACAAGAAAACCCGAGCTTCACAACCAATGATTCTCTGAAACAAAACCTGAATTGGTTAATTGGAGAGTGGATGAATGCCACGTCAAAGTCATTAAGCCTGATCAAATGATAAGCACACTTATATGAGGAAACGTCTTGATTCGAAGACCATGTATGCTAAGTCATGCCCTTGAGTTCTTGACAAGAAAAACCTGTAACATGTTGTTTATAAGAAGATAATAGCCTTGTTGCTTGAGGGAGAAGAAGTCAAAAAATGAGAATGAACCAAAACCCTAATTCCACAACTTGCTGTCTGAATAAGAAATCATCCTTTATTGGATACGAGCGCCTTAACCACTGTGAAACCCTAGTATCGCACAACCACTGAACTTTGAACCTCAGAGCTATATTGAATGAAATGTATGCCATGTTAGTGACCTAATGAAATAGATGCAGATGAATGCAAAAGTCTAAGCCAAAATAAAATAAATTAGGAGGGCAAATTTTGGGGTGCAACAATATGTTCATAAATTGAATTTTGATTGTGATTAATTGAGATACAATTTGATTCTTGAATATGATGATGATTATGGAAGTGAAAAGTTAATATAAATTCTTAATGTTTATCATTACATGAGTTTAATTTTGTTGTGGATCTTGATCTGAATTGAAGTATGATTTGAATTTCATAATTCTGAATTGATTTAATTTTTTATTTCAATTATGTTGAATGTTGTGGAAACAGTTTGAATCACAACCTTGACGATGTTGTGAACTATTGCATTTAACTAATAGTTTGATGATCATGTGAGACTTGCGCGTCGATGTTAAGTTTTGTTCATAATTTTGGAAATTGACGCGTCAAGGTTTGATTCCAAGTTAACTACTTTGTGCATATTTTGTGGATTTTGACACTTTTGGAATCAAACTTTGAAGTTTTATTTTGACATCGACGCGTAAGTTAGTTTTGATTTCAAGGCTTGGAATTAAGTTTGATTTCATGAGTTGAATTAATTTAATTTGGTTGATGAGAATTTTTTATGTTAATTTGTGATGAGAATTTTGGATTGTGAATTGTTGTTGAGACTTAACGGTAAATTCATGAGTTGATGCAATTTCGGATTATTTTAAATGATGAATTGATTTTTTTACAACATTGAAAAATTTCAAACCCGATTAATTGCATTAACTCATGAATGTTGTTTTCTTGAGCTTGGAAGTGGTAATTCCATTGCGTTTAAACATT